TGACGTATGTTTAACTAGGGCTAACGCATGCGCAGAACTCCATAAACGGCTCTAACGATTTTGATTAAACTCGGTGTATCATTGTATAATTAAGTGGTCTTTAATATCATTTAAGTCTTATCCCCGTTGATGTCACTTTACAGGGTTTTAATGCCCAATGTTCATATATGTCTTCCTCTAAAGTACCTTTAATATGGTTTATTTTAAAAAGTTAAACATTTCGCATTATTCAGAGTTTTAAAAAAATGCTACATTTAACTTTAAAAAGAATTTGATAAGTTAATAAAAAAGCAAAAAAAAATGCCGAAAAACCTGCGTTGCTATAGACTGTATCGCCTAAACGAATGTATCGATTTCAATGAAACTTCGCTAAAGTCATTTTCTCGACACCCTTTAAATTTATCTATATAACATACTTCAACGAAAAGAAGCTGGAAAAAAAGTTACGAGGGATGGTAAAATCTTTTTATTTTATTTATTTATTTATATGATATTTACAACTGTATAAAAAAATACATCTATTAAATTCGCACATAGATATAATGACATGAAACACATGTTGAGAAACTACCCATTGGTAGCACTCTAATAATATGTCTATATTAGGAGATCACGTGGCCATCTCCTTTTCAGAAGCCTCAGATGGTTATCAAGAATTGAATAGAAAGCAAGGTTAGAAACAAAAGGGATGGGATGGTTATGAAGTTTATTATGGAAGGATAGGTATCTGGATTCGGCCATTGGGATTGGATCATTAAGGTCTTTTTGGATTATTTTATTTGTGACAAAGTAAAGAGCATTGAGGATTTTAGAAGGATTTTGGATTGTAAAGATTGGATACGAGAGGAATTTGATGGTTTAGTGGAGCCCCATAGTTCAACTCCATATGTCCAAATAGGTCTTATTATAGTCATGTATATGAGTCGTTTGTAATAAATGGGAAGTTTAGAGCGTTTGTCCAGTAAGTGTTGGAGTAAGCGGAAAAGGCGAGCAGTTTCTTGTCGTTTCAGTCTTGTATGAGGATTCCAAGTGAGACGTTTGTCCAGCTGGAGTCCAAGGTATCGGATTTGTTCTACAGAGGTTCTACGAAACTGATATTAAGTATTTAAGGTTTGTGTATGGGCCGGATGTGACAGCAACTTTTTTGTTAAAATCGGCTAACCGGAAGTGCCACTTTATATGACCGCTGAAACACATTTTTACAATTTTATCATAAACGGCTCTCATAAATTCGGTGTATCATTGTATAATTAAGTGGTCTTTAATATCATTTAAGTCTTATCCCCGTTGATGTCACTTTACAGGGCTTAAATGCCCAATGTTCATATATGTCTTCCTCTAAAGTACTCTTAATATGAATATGGTTTTTTAAATGAAGAGGAGAATAGTTGGGGTGGTCAGTCAAAAAAGAAGGCAAAAATAAATGATAATATTTATTTTTACATATGCCGACGTTTCGACCTGAAGTTCAGTAATAAATAAATGTTTATGGAATTACCTAAAAAAACAAAAAAAAAGAAATCGTTAAAATCGGACTATTAGGATGATAGATATGGCCTTTAGTTTTTTCCCTGAAGAGGCGAAAATTTGGATAAATTTAAAATATACTTTTTTAATTGTTGAGACTAAAAAAACTTTTTTTCTACAGATATTTAATAAAGTATCTTTCCTAAGAACATCCTTCATAAGAAATAAGTACCTAAATTTATACCTTTATTTCCAGTTCTATATTTCAACACTGCAATTACCACCTCTGGAATTAACTTACTCATTGTCTGTATATATAACTTTTTCAACTAAAAATATCAATAAAATGACATCACTCAAAAATGTTGAAATTGGAGTTAGTCATTCTGTGGTTTATAAAATAAGATGGAGTGACTAGATTTTTTATTGCCTGTTGTCGATATATTAAATAGAAATTTTGTAATTATAATGGTCTAATGACTTGTTATCTGTGAGCTTTAAGCTTTGGATCCGTTTAAAATGCACTTCAAAAAATTTTATAATATCCCAGCATTGCCAGAAAATAATTTCTATTCAAAGTAGATCGGTAAGTGAAAGTTGTGTTGTGCGCGCACCAGATTTTTCTTAAATCAAAAGTAACATATTTAATAAATATCAATAAGCCAGTAGGTAAATGCAAGACTTGTGCAAGACCAAGGTTTGTTGACGCAAGTCTAAGACCAAGACTGCCTCGGTCTCGTCTTGGTCCTGCGTTTGGACAACGCTACTTTTGACATTTGTAACTTTACGAGGTTGTCAGAAATGACCTATTTGCTAATTGGGAGTTTAAGGTCTCTAACAGTTGTGGGATTTCCTTCGACCAAAACTGTTTTTGAGACATTATTATCAAGGAAAGAAGTCCATCCCCGGCCATCTTTATCCTCAAGCTCAGTCTTCCTTTTGAAAATTTGAAAACATTGTTGAGTGATGCACTCACTCATACTGAAATCGCCTCAGACTTCATTAATTATTCTCGCATTTTGGGCTCAGTTCCGACCAAGTTACGAGTATAACGTAAAATGAAATTATGCGAAAATCATCCTAAAACTTCTCAGTAACGAATCTATTATTTTCAACTACTAAAATTCTATAGAAGATAAAAAAAACATTTTTTTCTTTTGAAGAGGATTAATATTTGATATAACGATATTAAACAGTGCAGTTTTATTTATTATTTTACCGACAGCATCTAATATTTTGGTAATAAACTAATAAAAAAAAATCAAGAAAGAAGAAAAGAAAAGAAAAATATAGGAAAAATCCATCCCCATAGACGAGTTTTGTAGTGTACTATAAACAAAAAATGTTATTATCGTGAATAGCACTAGTGATTTCAGCCAGAGGGCGCGCTCCTCTCTGGATAGTAGCAAAATAATTTCGAAAAAAAATATCCAAAAAACAGCTATTTTACGAAAAGAGAAGTATAGCAAAAAATCATTCCTTAAGACGAATTTTCTAATGTGAGCAATATCATCATCCTGAGCTCGACAATCCATTACTAGATCTTGGCTGCCTCTAAAGTTTTCCTGTGCTGTTCCATGTTTTTCTTCAAGAAAGTGTTTTGTTTTTTCTTAAAATAGCTGCTGTTGGGAACGTTTTCATGAAGAAAGGTACTAATTATTTGGTCTCTCATTTGATTGGAATCGGAAATTATTCTGATCTTTTTTTTCTTAGAGAACTCATTTCCAAGCTGCAGGACCATTTATAGTAAGTAATCTTTCTCAGATTTGCTCAGCTGACTTAAAGGAAGACAGCCAGCGGCTAACGAGAGAATTACAGCCCTTCGGATCTTACAGCTCCGGAGAATTACAGCTCCAAAACATTGGACGAGCGGCGAGAGGGAGGAGGCGGACCACAGGCGCGGGACCGGCCCCTCATCAAACTGTATGTCTATTTAATTAAACCAATAAAACATGTTGCCCCTTCAGGGACATTGCTTGGAATGCCTAAATAAAAATATATTAATAAATAATTATTAGCGTCATTCACAAGTATTCCTCTATCGAACATTTTCATTTCTTTTTATTTCACAAGTACTGGGCTTCCGGTCATACACCATGTACCGGGCCCCCCAATATTGAAAGAACAATTGGTTTCCGTGTTTTGTATTTTTTTTTTATCATCTAATTGGAATTCATACAACTCAAGATGAAGGAAAAGAGGTCCCCTCCATTGAGGTACTTTGTAATAACAATTAATAAATTAATAATGCATACGAGGAGACCACAATCAGTTAATTTTGATAAAATTTAATTTTGGACTTAAGAAAAGGCGCATAGGAAGTTGAGAGATGCAAAATGAGAAAGAATTTTAGTTTAGCTTGAGTATGATGAAAAAGAGAGATATGCTAGAACTAAAATTAGTGTACCAATAATACGAAGACCGGCAATGAGTAGTGCTGCCCAAAATTTGTCAATCTTGGTCTTGCACTTTGCACGATAATTTGTAATAACTTTTATATATTTTTATCCAAACTATAATAATGTTGTTTATTTATATACATCTTTTTATTTGTTAGTATATTTTCATTATCTAAAAGCATTTTTATTAATATTAGTATTTTATTTTTTGTTTTCATATTTTTTAAGTCATTGTACAAAACTGTTTATTTTAATTTTTGTCTTTTATCTTACCTTTTCACCATAATTATTCAATTTTAATCCAAGCAGATTTGTTGTTTTTTAAAGACACCCAATTATATCATAAAATAAAATAAAAATACCACCACATATTCGTTTTTTTTTTTTTTATTTTTTTTTTTTTTTTTTTTTTTTTTTTTTTTTTTTTTTTTTAGCTTTAATGTTTTATTCACACCTGTCATAATGCTAATTACAACGATAATGAAATGAATGTGAGATCGATTGATTAATAGAATTGTCATGAAAGGCATGAGGAGGATCAGTGCCCAGCGGCACCTCACTCGGCATGATATCTACATTAGGCGAGGAGGTCCCTCATCCAGCTCCTCTTCAGTCTCCTACAGACGTTACCGGGCATATTCGTAGTGGCCATGTCATTTATAAGTGTATTAGTATGTCCTTGTAAGTTGTCATGGAATCGTTTGTAATGAATAAGTATGTGTTCGTTAACAGTCGGCATATGGAGGTTAGTATGTAAGGTTATGTTGCTAACGTACCAAGGTGCTTTTGTAATTGTTCTGAATGTTTTTGCTTGAAAGATTTGAAGTTTGTTTAAGTGAGTCTTTTTAGCAGTTCCAAATATCTGTGATGCGTAAGTCCAAATAGGTTTTAGTAAGTAATTGTATGTGTTCAATTTCTGTCTAAGTTTTAGTTTTGAATTTTTTGAAAGAAGTGAACTCAGAATAATTGATCTTTGATTTAAAGTTTTTCGTTTTTTGATTATATGTGGGCCCCATCTCATTTTTCTGTCAAATGTCAGACCAAGGTAGTGAACGGTGTCTGTCTGTGGAATCTGTGTATTGTCAAGGAAAACTGGAGGGCATGTTTCATGTCGAAGCGTAAATGTGATGTGCTGTGATTTGTCTTGATTTGATAAAAATATATAATTTGGAAAATAATTTCTTGCGAATTCCAGAAGGTCCACCATTGTGTAATGACCATTATGTGTGGCAACATTTTTAGGTTTGTATCCGAAGACAGTTTCGGCGTCGATCTCGGACCCGGCCGCCAGCAGAAGGAGAAGTGATTCATACTGTCCTACGTCAGCTGCCCAGTGAAGTCCTGGCCGCGACATTCACTCCATAAATTAACAGGAGCCGCATCAAGGCAGCCCCCCCCCCCTCCGGGCTGCTGCTTTGCGGAGGGCAGAGCAGTCTCTGGTTGGGTTCGACTCCCGCAGCTAACAAATTTTTTACTAAGGCCCCGGCCTTCACTGGCTGCGGCGTGGTTGCTGCCCGTAGGACATTGCTGCCACATATTTCTTTCCATTCTAATCTGGTTATTGAACTTTCGTTGTTTTGCAAAGATTTTGATGCTATAAACAAAAATAACTAAAGTAAAATATTAATAATATCATGAAAATTAATTCATTATATAATAAAATAATAAATAATTATATTATAATTATTTTAATATTATTCATTCTATTTGTTTAAATATGAATCCTTATTTACAACTGCTACGTTTTATCATTATATTATTTCTTACAAAATTACACAAACAAATATATATTACCAGCTAATAACATAATCCGATGAGTGAATGTTTTGTCGTTAATGATCCGTTTATTAAACTAGGAAACAAAAATACTAATAGTACGTAATTTAGTAACATTTGCAATTAATGAAACTTTAACAGTTGATTATGTTTTAAGTTTATTATAGCAAAATAAAATTACAAATTGTCCATATGAAAATTTTTATTCCTGAAGATTATAATTTTGATTGGTAAATTTCCTTAGCTATAAAAAACTTGATGATAATACAAACTGCATTTTTTTTTGCTTTATGCAGAATAAGAAAACAAATTAACTATTGTATTAAATGAATTTTATCGTAAATAACATGTATAATATGTAATTATAAATTACAAAACTAAATGGCGCTTCCAGTAATGTATGCCAAATAAATTTTGGTTATGAAAACGCAAATTAGATTCGTTTTTAGTGTCATTTGAAACGCTTAGATATTAATATTTATAGTAACCAAAAGTTTCAAAATTAAATACTTCATTCACTTTAAGTTTTTTTTTTTTTGGCCAATAATTTATATTTTTATAAATTATTATTTAAACTTTTTTCCTAACTCTCCACTACCTTCTACAATTTCCTATATATATTTTTTTTTTAATTCTCCGCTATCCAACGAAATATTATATGCATATCTTCTGACTTTTATTTCCGGCTTTATATCTATTTTTCTTCAAATATGCACTTCATTCAAAGTTATATGTAGCATTTTTTCATAGCTCCTAACAATAAGAAATAGTTATTATTTATAATAAACCAAATTAAAGGTACTTTTATAGAGTGCTACCAATCTACTCTAGGCTCTACAAGCCTTGTCATATCATGTATTTATCCGTATCACATTTGCTGAATGTACAATTGCAAATTTCATAAATAATAATAAAGGTACTTTAGAGGAAGACAAAATCATGTTGGGATTTCACAAAGTTAAAATTCATCAAATTATTCACTAATTTAATTTTCTAAAAAGTTCATGATGATTTTTCGGAATAAACTGAAGTTGATACCTAATTATTTAAATATAATATCAGATCTAGACTTATTAAACTTCAATAAATACATTTAAGATTAAAAACATATCCATGAAATAATTTTATATTTTACTTCTTCTTTCACACAAGTATTATTTTAAGTAAGATTAGGTGGAATTTAAATAATTTTTTCAAACATAAAAATGTTTTAAAAGTTTACATTTAGTTAGTAAATTTCATTTAATTTTCTTGAAATTAGTGATTAACGTTAAATAATATAAGTTTTCAAAATATATTATTTATAATTTTTTGCCACTCTCCGTTACCTTCTGCAACTTTCTATATTAGATATTGTTTTTTCTAAAATTCTCCGCATAGCTTCTGTTGGGGTCAGGGGTATTTCGAAATTAAAATACAATTCTTTCCCCGGTGTGTTTTCTCAAAGGTGGAGAAAATACGAATAATATTAAATGATGGGAAAGAAGGTTAAAAGTTATGAGTCCTATAATCAGACTTTTTTTATTTTTTTTTTTTCTGTTCTTCCCTACCTCGCCTTTTAGGCTATACGGGATTTTGCCGGAACAGAGGGTGAGGGCGGGGAATGTAAAATCCCCTCTGGCACCGGGACGCGAACTCGTGACTATTTTCATATCATAGAGTCTGGCCAGAGACGGCAGTGAGTAAACATCTACCGAGAGCTTTCTTTCAATTTCATATATTGAGCCCAATTTTATTTTTTCTTTCTTTGTTTCTTTTCTTAACAGTGTCATACTATCGAACGTAATCTTTAAAACTTCTTATATTTACGTATTTTCACGCTACTCAACGTAAAGAAAATATAGTGAGAGTGCTACGAGCCCTGTGATTGTTAAGCTAATAATCCTATTAGTATTAGCAGTTGTTTGCTTGGTGGTTCACAACTTCAAATTCACTTGACATTAACTGTAAGTTATTTTTTATTATTAAAAATGGCCCAGTGCACGATTTGTAATAACGCTATTGCCCGTGAAGATAAATACAATTTATGTTGTACCAAGTGCAAAGTTATTTATCACGGCAAGTGTTTTAATCTCACAGACAAAGAGATAGAAGCTCAGAGAAGCACAAAAAAAACATGGATGTGCCTAAATTGCGATCAAACAAAGAAACTAAATTTATACAATGAACCGCCTGTATCAGAAATATTAGCAGCAGTTAATAGACTGGATAGTCATGTTAGTGAGGAAATAAGGAATATGAAGACAGCCCTCGATAAATATGGAGACCTCAGCTTAGCACTGAATGAGAGGTTATCTAAATTAGAAAAACATCTCGAGGACCAAGCTAAACATTTTGAGGAGATCATTTTGGAAAATAAAGCCCTCAAAGCTCGAGTGGGCGATTTAGAGATCCGCCTGAACAAAACAGAACAGGGTCAATTATGTAGATCGCTGGAGATCCGTGGGATACCAGTGCGAGCAGGCGAGACGCCCGCGGCTCTGGTGACCAGTATAAGCCGCGGGGCTGGGCATCAAGCTCGGAGTGGAGGATGTGGATGTCGTGCAGCGCCGCAGAAGCAAGAAGGATGACCCGCGACCGCCGCCGGTAATAGCTACATTTCGTCAGGCATTCGTCAGTGAGGGACGACCTGATAGCGAAAAGGAAAGTGAAGAGGGATTTCTCGACGCGTGATATCGGGTGGCAGGAAAACGACTGCCACCGAATTTATATCGGCGAGGAGATGACCCCAACAAACAGGCACCTCTACTGGCTAGTTCGGCAGAAGAGAGCTGCCAGAAAAATAAGATACGTATGGTTCGCTGCCGGCATTGTGCGTTGCCGAAAAGAAGACGGCCATCAAGTAATCTTGATTAATCAGGCATCGGATCTAGAAGTTTTTACCTGACTGCACAGGTTTCATCTCTTCTTCTCGTTCTTCAAAGTATTTTTTGTCTTCATTGGTGCCCAAATAACTTTGAAGATTTTGGTTAAAATTTCTCATAGCTCCAGTTTACTAATTTTTTTATTTTCTTAGTCTTATTTCTCACTTATTTTTTCATTATTCACTTTTATCTATCTTTCAGCCATAGATCAGCAGAAACTAAACATCCTTATTCTCCTAGACTTCTCCAAAGCTTTTGATTCAGTAGACCACAACATCCTCCTAACCAAACTTAAAAATATCTCTTTTTCTTCTAGTTCCCTTAATTGGTTCCAATCCTTCCTAACCGGTCGCTCCCAGTACGTTGTAATTCCTAATAACCCACCATCAGAATCTCTACCTCTGGCCAGAGGCGTCCCACAAGGGTCTTCCTTATCCCCCATCCTTTTCTCCATCTATATAAATGACCTCCCATCCTCTATCCTGCACAGTCAATACCACCTGTATGCCGACGACATTCAAATTTACCTCTCCTTTAATCCGACAGATATCTCAGATGCCACTCAAAAACTTCAGGAAGATATTGACAGAATAAGTAATTGGGCAAACCTCAATAGGCTCACTCTGAACGCCGAGAAGACAAAAGCCATCTTGATCGGATCCCCTTCACTCCTCAAATCCTTCCCGGTATCTCCCAATCTCTTCCTGAACAACTCACCTATCTTATTCTAAACCACCGTTAAAAACCTAGGTGTTACTTTCGATCAATCCCTATCCTGTAAACCTCACATCTCCCAAATTTCCCGTCGCACTATCTCCACCCTAAAACATTTCAATCGTCTACGATATCTCCTTCCATATAAGTCCCGTCAACTCCTAGTTTCCTCCCTTGTTTTCCCCCACTTCGACTATGGCTGTATGGTGTACGGTGGACTCCCAGGAGATTCCGAGGCCAAACTTAATCGCCTAATGAATTGCGCACTACGATTTGTTTTCGGAATCTCAAGGGATACGCATATTACCCAGTATTACACTGAGTTGAGGTGGCTCTACCCATCCTATCGCCGTCAGTACTTCCTAGCCAATATTCCATCCAATCCCGTCCCACCAGATCTCGTACTTCCGACCTCTATCCTCCTCCTCACCGAACTGCTGCGTTTGACAAATCCTTTGCAATACAAGCCGCCTCCCTCTGGAATTCCATCCCAGCTGATATTCGATACGCTCAATCAGTTTCCTCGTTTAAACCTCTCCTCTTTAAGCACCTACTCCTTTCTCAATCCGAATGATTGTGAAATATATCTAAGAGAAATATCTGAGCACCACCAGAGACTACCTCAATTTATTAAGGTTATTTTAGTTTCTCATACATATGTACAATTTACTTGTTCTTTTCTTTCTCTTTTCTGTATTTTTATCGTAAGTCAACTTTCATTGTAAATATACAATTTAATTGTAGCCACACAGACATATAATCTGTATTCATATTTTGTTCTTAAGGGACAACAGTCCCAGAATAATAAAACATTTTTTTCATTTCATTTCATTTCATTTTATTTTGCTTATCAGTACTTTTCATAATTTTTTTTCAGAATATGATATATGCCTCATTTCCTCTATGCTAATTTCTGACTGTTTTCCATCAAATCCTCCCCATGTCTAGCACCCTAACCAACTGCCACGTTAACTCGCAATCCCTTCCCGCCCATTATGATGAATTCCTGCAGTACTTTTCTCAAAACTTTTTTCACATCATCGCAATCTCAGAAACCTGGCTCAAACCCTATATTCCGTCCTCATCTGTCTCCTTATCTAATTACACCCTCATCTGCCACGACCGGGTCAGCCGGACTGGTTGTGGGGTGGCCATATTTGTCCATGATAGCCTGAAGTCCCGAATCCTTGATTACTCCCCACCCTCTGAACATCCACAAGTGGAGTACCTTCTAGTAGAAATTACCTGTAATAATTCCCCTCTCCTTTACATAGTGATCTACCGTCCTCCCGTTGTTCCA